TCAGTTGTAATGGACGCAGAAAATACTTTGTAGTGCTGCAAACCACACATTTATAGCTTGTTACAGACTTACAGATTATTGGAGAGAGCGCGAAATATACACGCGCGATCTAAAGCCAAACGAGAAGGGGAACTGCTGGCGGGGAATTTTTCCACCTTACACACAATCAATTCGATTACGGGATTAAAAATGAAAAACCATTTTAAAAGATAAAATTGTAAACAACAATGCCAAATTTAGATTCCTTATTCATACGTTAACGGGAGAAAAAAGCTTGCAAAACGTGTGCTACTTATAAACATATACGTTCAAATTGAATTATTAACGCAAGGACTAAAGGTAAAAAGGCAAATAAAAACAATAAGCAGATCATATCTTGTGAACTTTAATGAGAAAACCATCGGAACCCCCAGAAGACAAATTGATATACATATATATATATTGCAAGAAACCGCACATTTTGCGTATAAATATTTTATGATTTAGTTCAAAAATATCGCGATCTGATAAAACATGTGTCATTCCGGCACCGAATTGCGCACTTAAATATCGAAAATTTCACTTCTCTCAGCTTCGACTCTCAAAACAAAAAAACAGACGTTGGTTTCATACATTTTTAAAGGATCTTCAACGTGATAAATAGCGGCGCGCATATAAAAGATGGAAAAAGAACTGACGCAAGCTTGCAAACTTATCAGTAAGACTCATCGCCGATTATTGATAAAAAAAAGGCAAAATATAGACTGTGCATAATTTTTAAACAACGCAAACGTAACTCAGATATCTATTGCACAAGCTGAAAATTTCAATTTTAATTTTTGTTCCTGACAGAAGCCTTTTCGTGCGGGTTAATTTTCCCAAATAAAGATCCGATAATAGCTGTTTTGGGAGAAGATTCAATCAAGATTTATCCACTTTCGTGTACATTTAAACGACAGGTGTTCTCGTGCTGAATCTGAATTAAGCCGTTAATTACGAGCGCCTGCGCAAGTGCGACCTCTGATTCAGCAATTTCCCAAACTGTGTAGGCAGGTATTGTTTTGGACAGTTTTCAGGAAATTCTATCAATCCGTAGAACAGGAAGAATTTCAAAGGAAGCCTTAGCAACTTCCCGCCAGAGTCTCTGTAGTCATGAGAGTTGCGTGAATTTCATAAAGTTTTCGTGCTTGGTGTCTCTAGTGAATAATTATCTCTGCTTGCATACATCTCAAACAATAAATCCCACTGTTTGTTGTACTCCTCGAAGCTTTGTAAACCGGACTCGTGCGAGAAACACTTTGCGTAACGACCAATGATTCGAAGCCGTGTTGTTCTGGACTCGGCAGTGCTCGTGAAAGCTTTGAGTGTTTTCAAATTGTCGTTAAACTGCTCAGCTCTTTTCTTCACTTTCTTGAATTTTCTCTTGATACTCTCGCTCCTACTTCTGTGCGGCACAAAATAGCGTACCTCCTCCAGATCAATGGACCACTGAACGCTTTTCTTCCGAGCAGATCTGGCTCGTCGTTCTTTAAATCTCTCTTGGCGATATTCGGCGCCATGAGAGAAGCTCGTGAATTCGCAACTCGTTGACCTGCGTAAGGGCATAATCCTTCAAACTTGAGAAGCAATTTGTCAAAGGGTTGTGAAATAGTCCCCACGGATTTGTATCAGAATCAATGGTCGGTCGGCCGGCACAAGACTCAATGAACTTGATTGCGGTCGGCAGCGCTCCAAGATGTAGCTGAAATGTTTGATTACTACGCCGGAACTTTATGGTTTAAAAGGCATGTGTTAATAAATAATTCATTCTTTTTTGCTATTACATCACATCAAACGCCTTGATAAGACAATGGAAGGTTGCGCAAAACGTGATAAAAGAGGCTCATTCTTGTGTCAAGGGTTTTAAGAACATATCCTCCCCCACCATCCTCGACAAAATCACTCAAACTCGGTTCAGTTCCCTGACCGCGCGCGGCTAGTTCGCGATATTTGCCATTTGCCATTTTTCATTATTTTCTTTTTCCGGGAACCGTAATCACTCAAATAACTGGTCAAACTGTTTTTGAAACAAACCTACTCACATTCTAGCCTTTTCCGTCAATTTGCATCAACATAATAGCCGTTTGAACAAAGCCTCTTAAAGCTAATTCTCTGACCAACCCCTGCCTAATTAACTCGTGAAGAAATTCAACCACATGACCAAAATAAGCCACAAACCACAGTTTTTTCTATTTTTACGGTATGACTTCATTTTCTACAGTTTTCTTCGAAGACAAATGTCGATCAACTACTTTTGATAACCTTTCCCTTTTTGGCAAAATATCGGTGAACATATTAGGGAGTGCTAATTGAAAACGAATATTTTTTTTAACCGGCTTTTTAATAAACCAACACGGCGAATAAAATTCTAAGAAGTTTTAAATAGCAACATTTTATGACAGACTGTATTCGACAAAAGCACATAAGAATTTCTTAGAGCAAAAAATTTTGATTCAAAAATGAAATAACGAATGCTTCGTATTAGCATTCATAAGACTTTAAATTTTTGAAGGATTTCACTCAGCAAAGCGAATCAAGATCAGTGCGTTTGTATAATAGAATATTTAATGATTCGACTGTCCTTTGTATCTTCGTAATTTTATCAATCGCTTCCAAATATCATGGTGAAAATGCAAACTTTCACCATGATATAGATTATATTTTGCCGCCGCAATCATCTCGCTTAAACTGGCGAAACGTTTTCAAATATGGTATTGCGTTTTCAGAGCGTGTATTGTCCTGAACCGTAAGTTAATTTATACAGTTTGTTTCATTAATCTCAAGGACCATTCATAGTTCGAGCAAATGCAGTGCATTCATTCGGCACGACTCTCATTCTGACGTTCGTAGTTTTTTGCTAAATTTGAATTGACTAAACGAATTGGGCAATAATCGGACACAACGGAAACAGTCGTCCCACACAAGGGATTTACGTACGTTTTAAGGGGGTTAATCATTTATCGCCATACCCAAGAGATTGATTGGCTGCTCCGAGTGTTTTACGAACTTCGCCGACAATGTCAGAAACAACTTTCGTGAATACTCGGCTTAATGTCGACGAAGGTCCATAATTACGATTATATATTAATTATAATGTCGAGAAAAGAGGCGAGTAGTTTGTAGAGGTAGTCAATAGGCTGCCCCGAGTGTTTTACGATCTTCGCCGACAATGCCGGAAACAACTTTCGTGAATACTGGGATTCACGTCGACCAACTCCTAATTGCCGACAGAAACGACCAGAAAGAGTTTGCGGAGGTAGTTTTTCAATAGAATAGATCTTGAATTAAGGTTCTTTCAATTCAATGAATGCTATTAGGAGTGTGCACGTGGTACTGAATCTACAGCTGCCGCGAACTGCACTTTACACACGAACCTCGCCTCGAGTCGCCATCTTTTCCCCGACAGATGCAACTCTCGAGTTTTTCGTTCTTCTCGAAATTTCTAACAACATTCGAGTCTCTTGAATAACCTTTTTCTATTTCATTTGAAGTTACTAAATTGTCAAAGATAAGAAAATAAAATTAGAACAGTCAAGTGTTTCTGTTATGATAAACTATGGCAAACTAAACTTCTGTTTTCTTTGCTATTAGCGATTTTTTTCTTTTATAATTTAGTTTTCTTTTCTCTTTCTTATATATTTCTGTTAATGCTCTCACATGGAGAAATAATCCGAAAAAAATGCTTATGCCTGAGCCAGGTATCCAACTCATACTACAGAAAAAACTGATTCAGATTTATTGAAGCCAAACTAACTCAAGATATTGCTGTGGTAAGAAAACACTAAGCTGCCGTTTTAACGCCAATATTTGCTGTGAGTTGTTAATTTATGTGTTCCCTAATATTCTGTTTGTAACTGTTAAACGTGTTAAAAAACATTGTTTCTACTCAACTGTAGATTGCACGCCGCGAACACAATGAAATTGTTTTTATTCAACTTCATTGTGTAATATTTTCCGTGCAAGGAAAATTTTTTTCCGACGAATCTTTTTACGCTTTTAGGTTAAAGTTCGAGAACTATTTTTCATAAATTTATTGCCGGTTACGGCTTCACAACATCTTAAGTTTGAATTGTTATCAGTTATCATTTGTCGACCCGTTTTTCAACACATGGATGACGAAGAGAAAACGAGAGTCCCTTCATTTTCTCCTAATAACAGACCGAGGAAGCGATTAAATGTTTAGACCCGTTAGGGATTATGTACTTTAGTTGAGAAAATGTCTCTTTGTTATCGTTACTTGCCAGTGCTATGCCGGCGATGTATCTTGATGCAAAATGTAAACTCTGTGTCACCTCAACAAAAGCGCAAACGATGAAACGACGTGACATTTCAAGCTCAATAAAATGAAACTTGACTCTTACCAAGTTACCACCACAGTATGTTGTTCTAGAGCCGTAATTGTTGTGTCAAAAACTATGTAAATTTAAAAAAGAACTTTACTGTACAACGATTGAGGTTAACTCTTCTTTTTTTTTTACCCAATTAATTTTACGCCACTTCGAATTTGTATTTAAAGGTGAAATGCTCAATTAAGTATTGCGCAATTTTTCTCTCACTGTGAATCACGTATTGTTTGTTGAACACTTTCACCGTCACATTCTCAAAGGTCAGTTTTCTTCGTACTTGCAAACAGCGCAGTTGACGAGAGTAACAAAACGATCGAAAAAATTATAGCTTGGTCAGTATATCATCTTGATGTAACGCCACATTTTCTTAAAAACAGTAAAAGAAATGTTTGCCAGTTTGAAAGCTGGCGGAGCATAACGTTCTGCGCAGGCGCAGGGCGAATGGACCAAAAGGTTGAACCGTGTAATAGCGTATTAGCATAGTTATTGAAATTAATTTGCGGTTGTGCAGACCGCATTTCAAAGTTTTCTTTTATGATGTCCGGCTGTTATGCTAAATTTAATTCTGGCGGCATCCAATAAAGTATACTTCTTTACAGCAAAAAGAAAAATAAATTAAGAAAGTAACAGCATATGTTGTATTTTAGAATTTTTTTATTTAAATTCGCTTGTAAAAGCGGACACTTTTTTTCTGAGCGAAAATCGATAGTTGAATAAGTTACTGTTATTGTTAATTTGGCAGCACTAGGATCTATGACTCAAGTATAGGCCATATCGCTGATATGTATAAGCTATTTCTTACATCCTCGTATTAAAAATAAACATAATTGTTCACAATAGTCAAAAATATTGTTGTCAAAAAATACGAATTTACACAATTTCAACTTCTTATTTCTTAAATATTAAAATATTGTATTTGTCGCTGTAAGCTAAGACAACTAACTGATCACATCCTCGTGAATCGAATAGCTGGCTTGAAAATTTTCTTTCGTAGAAATTTTAGCGGAAAAAATCGGTTTGTATTATAAATAACAGCAATAGTCACTTGCTGCGAAATTTTGCTATGCGCTCCTGTTTATCTTAAATATAGTTATGCTTCGTATAAAATTTCTCATTTACTGTTCAACCTTTGTTCTTGCCGTGTAGTTGGGTCTTACAATGTCTTTTTTTTTGTCCCTTCTTCGGGTCGGTTTTCATCGACAGGTTTAAAGATTTGGTTCCTGGGGTGCAATGAGAATTAAATCGCGTCGACTGTGTTTGTCACACTGTATTCCCGCGCGAAAAGCGAAAAAGCGGCGTTCTAAACGCAGTGTCATTTTAAAAGTTACTTCACTTTCTCCTCATCTTCCTCGTCGGTCGACTCTTCGCTGCCAACAGCGTTTATGTCAAAGAGTTTGTCCCACTCTTTGATTAAGTCCTCATATGTGACTCGGTCCGCGTCGAACGAACCACTTTGTCCATGCCTGAGAATGAATTCAAGTCCATTTTGAACCGCATTCGCGCTTAGTTCTCCCATGCTGGTAATAATTCGAAGCGGTTTGTCCGTGATTTCGCTAGCCTTTCGCCTAATCTTGGTCATTTTCTTTTTGAAACTCTTTCGTAGTCGGTTTGGAGGCACAAAATACCGCACTTCTTCTAAGTTATCTGCCCATTGGACTCTCTTGTCCGGCGAGACGTTACCACACGCACAGTTATCCATATGATGTGCTTGTCAGCTGATCGGAATCGTACTACTGGCCGCAATGGATGTGGTCTTGTATTTATGAAACTCAGCAAGTGACTGCCCGGCCTTAGTCAGCAGCATTATCTGCATAATTTAACCACTTGGCTATTCCCACGCAATCTAGCGCTTAATAGTTAGATATCTAATTGTCGTGTTCAGAAGGAAAGTGATGTTATTTTTAGGCCCTGCTTACGACAGCACCTTCTCTATTTGGAAACTCAACATTAATTCATTGTTTCAACTCACGTCAGCATGCGGAGGACTTGCGTCACGTTCTTCCAGCCGCAACAAAGGTTCGAACCTTCTCTTCTCTTCTCTATTCGCCCTTCATTCTTCTTTAGCTTCATTAAAAAGACAAAAAAACCTGTCGCGAGAAAGAAGCATCTGGGTGGTTCACTTTTTTCAGCTTTTTCCTCTCACTTTATCAAAGTGATTTAAATGGCGATCGAGACAGACTTTGCATTTAATTAAAATCCGCGATAAGAGCGCGCGAACAGGTGGCTTTTTGTGATTGGCTCCCCAGCGAAGTGATTGACACCTGACTGTCGTGAACAATAAAAGATGCTCGTAAAGCGTTATGATATGTCGCGAGAACGTGATGTTCAGCGTTATTGTTGGCCACAATTCGCAAGAATGTGATTTAACAAGGTACGATCGAGTCAATTGGCTACGTCAACGGGAAGTCTTTCTCGTGTTTCCATGTCTCTATGTTCTACACTGGAGAGTAGCTCATATTTCATCAGACACGATATCAGTTCTTACATTCGTTTACCAAACAAAACGGGAAGCCGCACACAGATCGAATGTATGGTGCAAATGATTTAACGTTGAAGACTTTCGCCGGAATAGCGGCATTACTGAAACAATTATATTTGACGGAAATGGTCTGTTCGATAATAGCGATAGCCTGCGCCAGTAAATTTTTCTCTTCGCGATGTGAAAATCAAGCGGGTACAGTGCAAACGTTTGGGATAAATTAGTTCGACTTACAAACTGTTCCTGTATTTCAAACTTCGCTTTTACTACCAGTTAGTTTCGAAGAGCACATTAGTTACTCAATTTAACACGTACGGTAACAAAACGTGTGTACTTAACAGGTACATGCGAGTAGAAACGCACCACAAAAACTTACGTGGTTTCTTAGTAAATATCACGTTTAAACAAGCTATCCCAAGCCATGAAAATTATCTTTAGCTCTGCAAATGCGTCACGTTTACAAATTTAGTGTAGTTGGCTTCGAGGTGTGGCAAATTAAGTTAATTATAAGTTGCAGAGAAAAGCGGGCTGCTGAACAGCGTAAAACTAGTTAACAACATGTAGTTAACATTTCTCAGTGTCTGCTTGCCAAAAGCCGTCCGCATGTATACCTTAACGAAAGGCAAATATGAACCAAAGGCGAACAGGAACGCAATCTTGCTACCTGAACAAAGCTGAACACGAGCTGCTTTTATGAGAATTAAACGAGGATAGCTGTCAAATATAACTTAAGGCTCTCCAACCTGCATGAATAACACACACACACAAAGAAAACAATTAGGCGCTTGCGATGAATTAAAATGACCCCTGGTTAAAATTTAAAACGTTCCGGTTTTAGATTATACTCTTCCAAACTGAATATTGCAGCTGTTTGGTGGTATGGTTGAGCTTAAATTAAGCAAGGATAAATTGTTTTTTTCTATCACTTTTGCAACTATAATGTTTAAAGTAAGACAGGGCATTGAAAAATTGGTTAGAAACCCAACGATAAAATGCAAATTATATTACAAATTACTTCGACGCAAATAGCTGAATTTTTCCTGCATGCAAAAATAGCTCGGCGGAACACCACCCGTAACATTTAAAATCAAACTTAATATTTAAATTCAAACTCCCTTTTCCAATATTTTTTTGTTTCGGGAAATAACTGCGAAACAAAAATGACGCAAATGAAATTAAAATAGTAACTGGTGAATTTGTTTATTTGCACTGCTCTCTTGTTATTTTCGGAAGTTTTTTTAATGGCCGCACAAATTTGAAGTGCTCCGATTTAGTTTCAGTACTTCGGACCCAGAGAAAGAGTGGAAATCGAACCAGTTACTTTTAACTGGTCGAGATGTATAGATGAGGGACATTTATTTTCCTTTACTTGACACAAAATTAGGGACGAAGATTGTCCAGGCCTCGAAAACATATGTTCACTCGATACCACGCTACAGTCTCGCGAAAAACAAGGAATTCGTTTTAACTTCCGTATTCATGGTTAAGAAAAATCTAGATCTTAAGCTTCCTGCAGCTGGTTAAGAAAAGTTAAGCGTCTTCCTTTAAACTTTAAAACCAATTGAAAACCCATGACAAGAGAACTTTTCGAGAGCATCAACCCGTACACGTTGTTTAACGCTCACAGTGTGTAGAGGCCATTTTAAATTATGGTTCACGGGGGTGGAAATCAGTGGATGTAATATTAGCTTGGGACGCATGCAAGTTTCTCGGTGCCATAAGGTCGAAAAGAGAGGACTAAAAAAGTATTCCATCTGTAATCCTCCGGGCCAAGAATAGAGTTAAACTACACAACCCACGCAAATTTAACCTCTTACAGGTGTTCAATAAGTCGGGGCGCAGCGCGAAAAACGGCGCGCGAAAAAATAAAAAAAAGTGCGGCGAGAGGAAGCTTACTCGCGCCCAAGATACGCCTACACTGCAGGCTGCTGGGAAATTAGATTTATAAACCCCTCCCCCCCCCCCCCCCCCCCCCCCCCCCCCCTCCCCCCCCCCCCC